GTTGGGATTTGAAATGACAAAAAAAAAACTAAATAAATGAATAGGTATCAAAATTATAATTTTCTTATATTATAGTTGGTAGTTGATGAGAGAGTGGCATGTATCAGGAACACATATTGTCAAATGTCAACACCATATTTAATTGTACGTGAAGTCGTGGAGTGTGTTTAACCTTTTTTTTCTTTCGATAAATTTTGGTATTTTTAATTATTATTTTGTTGAAAGTTTACTACAAAATTGTTTTTTTTAATGATAATTTGAAGTGTATAAAACGTTCTATGTTATGAACATATCATAAATGATTTAATAAATATCGTAAATGCTTTAATATGAATGATAATTATCTCACACAAATATTTCTATTATACTAATATGCATTCTTATTAATTTACAGTAAAATTTTACTGCCAATTCATGACAATTAAACTTTAAAATTTTAACCAAAATAGCTCAATTAATAATATTATCTATTGTTATTAATTAATGTTAATTTTAGTATGAAGTCTTATATATTGATGTTAATCAATTAAGTAACTTGGTATTTTGTGTGTATTTAAATTTCCCTTAAGAAAAGTTAGTCGAACTTAATTCAAAGTGGAAAAAGAAATAATTGTCAACTTTTAAGTTATTTGGAATTTGAAGTCAATTTTAGTTACAAATGAATCTGAAACCAAAAAAAAAGTGTTCAACATGTTATTATAGTGTTTAATAAAAACTCAAAATTTATTTTGATGTTCTAACTAAAATCTAAACATGTCCTGTGTAATAAAACGTAGTTAATGTTATTAATTGTATGAATAGTTTGGTATCTAAAGGATAAATTCCATCAATATATATGGATATGATCCTATATCTATCATGTAAAAGTAATTTAATTTAATTTTTTTATGATTTAGGATTATTATAGTAACAAATGAGTTATTTATTATATTTTAGGATATAAATTCTTAATTGTAGTTTGTATGCGGATCTTCATTTATAATTTTTTTCTCTTTATTCATGTAATACTAAGTAATTATTGTTTAACTAAAAGTGAATATGTAACATTTTATCTAATAGTATAAAATTATTAAATAAAACAATATAATTATATAATCAACCAGTAAAAGAGATAATCATATCACTATTATATTACTGTTATCTATAAAATATGTATTGAATATATATATGGAGAATTATATATACACACTAACATAAACTAAACTTTCAAAAGAAAAGGTTTTACAACAAAAATTAGTCATAAGGTAAACTATTCTAAACTAGGTTGTTGTCTTGTCCTCACCTTGCACAAGATCAACGAGAACATTTTCATCTGCTCACACCGTTAAGGTGATAATCTCAAACAAGGAGAAGAACACAAACAATTAAAATAGAGAAAAAGTTAAGCCAATATGCAAAAGATTTGATAAAAACAAACAATAGTCATAATATATCAAGGTCTACACATGCATAACATACCACCATTCACATATTTACACAAATCGTTGACAGTAAACTCAATTATCTGAATACCTATATTCGACATATGGCTTTAACGTATACGTGCATTTGTAATAGTATTTATGCTCTACAAAGTCATAAACAAAGAGGTTATCACCCTACCACCTACAAAGTTAGTCCCCTTCACACCTATGAACAACAGTCCAGTGGTTAGGACCTCTTATGGCTCTCATCATATAACTCATTCTACTATATTTGAGTATGAATAGTTATTAGAGTATATGACATCTCCTTTATGACCCCCCATATGTCAATGCATACACTAAACTTTACCACATCACAAAATTTCTCCTTGAAATTCTCTCAACAACACTTCAAATCATATTCTCCATCAATAAAAACATCATCATACATCTTGAACATACATATGAATCATAATAAACCAATCTCAAACAAGTTATAACATAAGAAAGCACAACATACACACTAACACTTAGTGCAAGACCTCTCATAAAAGAGAGTGCTCAGCGACAATCCTGACGTTCACTCCCAAGCCTTTCGCAAAAGGTGGCACTCAGCAGCAGTACTGGCGCTCAACGACACTACTTGCGCTCATCGTCATTCTTCTCGCAAAACTTCTCGTTCAACGACACCATTCTTTCGTTCAACAACCATGAATTAAATTGTTCTAAACTTGTAGTGAAAAGTGACGCTCAACGGTATCATGCTACCGCTTAGTGTGAGAGCATTTACAAAAATGATCGTTCAACGATTTGGATAAAAAATGCTTTCAGACTTGCACAACCAAGCTTACGCTCAATGCCATAGTAGATAACAACAAACTCAAAATTGTGATTTTGAGAACTAGGGACTTGTTCAGATGATCAAATTGGTATTCCTAACATAGTGCTTGATTCAAAAACAGTTTTCAATGTCAGAGTGCATACCAACTTGCTCAAATGGTCAAATCCTAAATTCCTTATTTCAACATTAATTCAGACAATTACAAACAACACATAACTATTTCAACACATTCAAATTACTTAACAATTCAAACACCAAGTCAACAATTCAACATACTCAAATCAACCACACATGCAATTTACCATTTTCATCACATTTATAACTTAAACAAGGTCATTAGCTTTTATTACGTAATATATGACCAAACAACTCTAAAACCCTCAAAACATCTTTAGACGCACAAGGAGCCCTATCTGTCCCTATGAATAATAGAAACATTAATGATGTTAAAACAGGTCATCCGGCTCGGCCTGTGCTAGCTTACCACGGGTTGGTAGGTTAAATTGATTGACTCACTTAATTACAAGTTTTTTTTTTAATTTTAATTAATTTTTTTTTTTTTTGTAATTCAAATCTAAATAAATTTTATTCTAAAATGATGTTAATATTCTAAAGATAATTCAAAATAAAAAAAATTACCATACAATCTAAATATAATCCAAAAGCAAACACAAAAAGCGAATAAATAAGTTTCTAATATTGATCATTTTTGTGTCACTCATCCATCTATAAAATTAGAATCTTGAATGGATAAATATAATATTTTGCTCTCTTCATACATCTTCTTCTTTATCCCCATCTACAATACAATAAAAGAATGTTAATTAATAATATTAAAAACAAAGTAATAAATAATTAAATTAAATTAGGTGGGTTGGTGAGTCAACTTGACTCACTATACATTCAATCTGGGGTGAGTCGGGTTCTAAATGGGCGGTCGGGTTGAAAATTGACCTGTATAAAAAAATTATATTTTTTCAAAAATTAATGATGAAAATAATTAAATCTTATTATTATTTTTATATTATTAATTTTAAAATATTATTTTTTAGGTTTTTTATAGAATAAATATAAGATATTATTAAATAATTGTAAAATTAACTTTCAACAAGGAGATATTCACCAAGTTTTTCATAAAATTAAGAATTTGAATAAGAGCTAAATTTTATTTAAATGATTCATTTATTAGAGATATATGTTAACTCAATTTGTTTTGACAGTAATATACGTAAAGCTAACTGAGAACTATATTAATTAAAGGAAATATCATAATTTTTTTTATTGATTATTGAAAATAAAATGTTATTTCAAACTAATCCAATTATAAAGTTATCATTGGAGAAGTATCACGATCAATAAATTAATCTGATTCATTTATTACTAGCTTAATGTTAAACAAGTAAAACACATAACAATTAGTATTGCTAGTTCAATATTAAATACGTGACTACTAATATCTTTTGCTAACAATGAATTTTTGAAAGAAGAAACAATGGTAAAAAGTTTGGATGCAGATTTCTAATCTTCGAATTTTAATTTCACTCCAATGTCTGTATCAATTCTCATTGTATAGCACTAAATCTAAATTTATTTCTAAACTTATATGTTGCAATTATCATTTAATTTAATGATTGTTATTATTAATCGAATTTATTTATATATTATTATAATTATGAGAGGGGAAAACATGTAATAAGATGTCTAGATTTTGTGTGAAATGAGATAGTAATTGTGTTTGATCGCGTCCTCCGTCTTGGGCGGTGTGAACGAGGCGGCGGAGAATGGAAAACGCCGATGTATTCTTGGGCTTACAGGACTTCCTCGAGCGCATGCGGCAGCCCTCCGCCGCTGAATTCGTCAAAGCAATCAAAAGGTTTCTATGAGCTCTCATGCTTTTTACATTGCGATCACGATTTAGGTTTGGAATGGGAACCCTAACTAACGAAGTGAGATTTTCGCAGTTTTATCGTTTCATTTTCGAACAATGCTCCTGATCCTGAGAGGGACAGTGCCTTGGTTCAAGCGTTTCTTGCGAAAATGGAAGCGGATTTCAGGGCTCATCCACTCTGGGCTGGTTGCTCTGAAGAGGAACTCGAAAGTGCCGGTGAAGTCAGTTTCTGCTTAACTCATAACATGCTTTTTCTACTTATTGTTCTCTATAAATGAAGATACATTTCAATTTTACAGTAACTAATCAACTAACTTGCTCTACTGTCACCTCACATTGAAGACATTTCAAGTTTTATTTTCTGCGCTGGATCTCTGGTTGATTGAATTGGGTTATTTTTACGATCACTGCTACAACTCACTCATCCTTTCATGTTCTATTTACGGTTTTTTCCCTCAATAATGATGAATTCTGTAAGGCACAAATGAAGATCCAAAGTTTTATGCATAAAAAATATAGAATTGAATTGAAGATACTGAACATAAGGCATAAATGTTAAGGAAGAGTAGCGGGTCTGCGAATAGCAGTATAGCGCATATTAATTAATGAATTGCTGTTCTGGGATCGTGCCTGATTATCTGAGATGATTATTTTAGCTCTTAAAAACGTGAAATTTGAGTGAGATGTTCACGAGCACCAGAAATCTAGTGGAAATGAATCAATCTGAATCCTCATCTTATGGCCTGCTTTTTTTTGCCTGTTTAAAGAAAAAAACTCCTTTGCTAGAAAACTTGTTTATTAAGTTTATAATAATTAGAAGGAAACACTAAACGACTGACGCACCCCAGTCCCGGATGTCCCTTGCTTCATGAAAGTATTGGAGAGGACAATTCTACAATGTTTCTCTTACATATCTGAAAAGGTCGTGACTGGATTTGCTCATGACCAACCGGTGACTAAGGTGAAACTTTACCGGTGTGCTAGCGTTTGCAACTAGCGAAAAACAACAAAAGCATAAAATAATTCTTCCAGTGCTTCTGTTAGGAGTCAAAAAAAGGTGGTTTTTGAAAAAAGGTGGTTTTTGAAAAAAGGTTCTGAAGAAAAGCTTTATTTTGAAATCACATTTTATTTTAATTTTTTGTTTCAAAGTTTGTTCAAATTCACCTTTAGAACCTAGGCAAGAGATTGTGTATTGATTCAAATAATATATAAACGTAAGAGAACTGTAAATATTTGGAAATATTCAGAAAGGCTATGGGAAACGTGGATGTCTGTTTGAAACGGTGTAGTTAAATAGCCGTTGTAGCCGAACTATAAAGCTTGTGCATAGAGGAGTTTCATGGATCTGTGATGGCGACTCTGTCTATTATTGTTATTGTTACAGCATTCATCTTGCATCCTCTTGTCATCTCTGGCAATTCTCCAGCCAATTGAACTTTTAACATTATGATTATTTTTATTCATTTATTTTTCTCTGCATAAAAAGTAATTTTTTATACTAAGATAATTTATATCATATATGTTAACTGTTATCTAACTTCCGCCATATGCCCAGGACACAATCTGTTATATGATATGGTGGATTATTCAATTTCCCCAATTGATAACACTTCTATAATCTTTGAATTGTCGTGTTGGCGTCTGTATGTTCTTTTTACAGTCTATTAATTTCAATATAGAATCTACTAACTTATAGAAATTTATTTGGGAATTTGGGTAATCATCTGATGCAGTCTTAGCATAAAAGACAACACTTAAAAATTAATGTTTACTACTAAAAATATTATGCTAGCATACGCAAGTCAATTTCTCATTCACTGTCGATTCACATTTTTCTCCTTAGCTTTCATAATATTTACTCTTTTGTGTTACATTGTCGTAAATACTCGTTTATTTATTCTATTATTTAATCCATTGTGAGTGCGTATTGTCTTGCAAGCCTGGTTTGCTCAGGACATCTAACTCACTGTCATACTTCATTTTAGGTTTGTGAGGTCCAATGTTGTAGAGAAAACCAGAAAGAAATAAAAATACTTTAATTTCCATTCGCATGAATTTCACTTAAACTTATAGTGTGCAGTGAGTGAGACAATTTTTTTCAAAAATTTGTTACGCAAAGTATAGAAGGTTGTTATCTTTCAGCTTCAATATTAGGTAAATAAAACTAGGACTGCTGCCACACCAAACGTTAACAGAGGATTTTGATGATGCACAATGTGTATATTCTATTCAACACAAGTATTTTTTATAAGAAGCAAGCAAGTTCAATTCCACTTCATCTGGCATTTCTTTTAGGAAAGTCGTTTTAGGAAAGCTCATTCCTTTTGGTTTAATATTCCATGGTAGTTATAAACACGTTAAATAAGTTTCAATTGATCGTGTTGTTTTCCTGGAATACAACACAAATTCATTCGAGTAAGGAGTTGAGTGTTAGCTCCTGCATCTGTGTACATTTTGTTTTTCATAGAAAACATTGTTCTATATTCTTGTTATATTCTTTTAGTATATAGTGCTTCTACAATGACTGATTGCTTTACCTTGAATTTTGATCATATACAGGGGCTTGAGAAGTATGTCATGACAAAGTTGTTTGCTCGTGTATTTGCTTCAGTTCCAGATGATGTAAAACTTGATGACCAACTTTCCGAGAAGATGGCTTTGATTCAACAATTTGTTCGACCTGAAAATCTGGATATCAAGCCACCATTTCAGAATGAATCATCGTGGTTGGTGAGTCCCATTCAAAAGTAATCTGACCTAGCTCACAGTATGTAATTTTGTCATCTAAGTTCATTTTCCTCTTGTTAACAACATTTATCACTTAAAAAAGGGACACTAAGTGTATAATCTACATAATTCTTCTATCATCTACTATTATTGCTAAAAGACCAGTCTCAAATGCTACATAATTCTTCTCATATCTCTCGTATTTGTAGTTTGGTTTTTAATGCTATTGTTTGTAACATTTTTGGTATAGCTCAATCATAATTTAATTGAACTTCTTGATTAATTTCTATGCTTGACCCCCTCACCCACCAACTACCTGTTTTTTGACTTGGGTCATCAGCACCACAAACAATGTGATCTAAGTTCATATCACAAGGATCCTTATTCTTATAATTTAGTTTTAGCATATTATATAACAGCTGGCGTATTCTTTCTCCACATTTTACTTATTTATTACTAATATTTTTATCCAATGCCTTTAGATTGATTAGTTTTTGGGCATGTCTCACTTGGATTTCAATGGAATTTAGATTCATTGGTTCTTGATTCTCCAAATTTTCTTCAAAATAAGTTTTCTGTCCGATGTATCCTTGGGCTTTTACTAGATGGTAGTCAGTCAATAAGTAAACATTGTATCAATCTCAGATAGTGATGTGTAGAGGACAATTCTGGAAATTCTATAGCAGGAAGTAGGGTTTTATATTGCGTGCGCTATAGACCCATTGGATACTTGTATGACTTTTGTTAATGTTTGTATGTTTTGTATTACTTATTTTATAAAATTTTATCATTTTTGTGTAGTTATATGTATGTATACATCATAAAAGTTATGAAAAAAATGTCAGAATAACGACTATCCCACAATGGTGTTATTTGGGCCAGCTGCTATCCAGGATTTAAAAACTCTGTCTAGAAGTTGGGTTATAACATAAACTAAATATCATATACTACACGCTAAAAAGGTACACAAAATTAAAGAATTTCATAATAAATAATAAGTCAGTTTACGCATGCAATCACCATCAATCTAGGAGCAATAAGAACTTATGAACGACTAACAATGTAAGAAACAGAAAGCTGATGAAGAAACTGACCAAAAAGAACATTACAAATTTGATAAGATTTAGCAAAATGTGAACTGAGAAGTCTAGAGGAACAACAAGGAACATAACATATGAAAGAAAGAAGTCTTGAAAGTGTGAAGGTGCAGAGTTCAAAACAGGAAATAATTTTGTGCAGTATTTTCCCCATAAACCCAAACAACAGTGTTCTAGGGGAAATATGGGTTTTTGAACGCTATATCATGGTAGTGCTACTATAGCACACAAAAAACTGCTTATTTGGCCAAATGGTCGCAATTGGATTTCTATATCAGTCTAGTACCACTCCGCACTGCCATAACGCCACCACTGACTCCTATAGTTGTAAATACGGAATTTACTAGTTGCGGGCAGCAGCTGTCTAAGAATCTCCCTACGCTGTGTACTTGTGTTTTTACTTTGTTTTGGCTACTAAAATTTACAATTTTGACATGTTCATGGTTTTCGTTATATACTTCTGTTTTCTAGAAATGTTATATGTTGTATCATTCTTATGGTGGCAGCTCGCACAGAAAGAATTACAGAAGATCAACATGTACAAAGCACCAAGGGACAAACTTGTGTGTATTCTGAATTGTTGCAGGGTTATTAGCAACTTGCTGCTTAATGCTTCGCTTGCTTCCAAAGAGAATCCTCCGGGAGCTGATGAATTTCTTCCTGTTCTTATATATGTAACGATAAAGGTAATCTCAATGTTTCTTCACAAATTGGTACATGCATAATTCTCAACTAGAAATAGTTTTGCTTGATAGATGCTATTGTGTTAGTTTCCTTTATTCAGGGAACCGAAACAGATGATTCTCTTCTCACACAACACTCAAACAGTAGAAGATGAAAGCATATGTATGTATTTTATTAATTCTGTAATGTATGGAAAGAAGAAATACAAGTAAATGTACCCAAGGAAGCCTCCCTTCCTCCACTGGAAAAGATGTCGAGTCTCTACTCAAAAGGAAAAATATCTGATAACCCTTCTATCCCTATTCTGTTATTATTTATACTTTTTCTTTCTACTAACAAACTAACCTCCTTTCCCGTCTTTAGTTTCCTCCCCTTTTATTCCTTCTCACGTATAACTTTAACTTCCTAACATATTGTTACTTGTACTATCTATAAAATTATGAGTATGACATGTGGATGTGTGCCTCTATATTTTGGTATTTCGTTTGTTCTATAATGCACATTCTTGCTTGTTTTTTTCACTAATGAAGTTGACTCGCACAAATAAAGCTTGTAATTTATTGATGTTATGTAAAGTCACTTATGGCTTATTTCAAAAGAAATATTTGACGTGGTTGTTGAAATGCATCTTGCATGCACTGATCCAGTCATCATGGTCTGACCATATTGCTTGAAAGTTCCACTAATTCTAAAACTCATTGAGCTTCTCATGGTGCTGAGCTATATGACCTTTTCTTCTGAAATGTTTGCTGTCAAAATTATTTGATTCTAGTGTTTCCTTAAAACTGAATTGATGAAGCCAGATAATTCAGACTTTTGGAAGACTTCATATACAGTATTATATTGTGTGCTAAGAAGCTTAAAATTTATATTTTATACAGGCTAACCAGAAATTGGAAAAAAAGAACGTTAACCATTAGAGCAACTATATATTCTCATAAACTGTATTGTTAAGTGCCAATCTTGATTTTACAGTTTGACAATGTCTTCTAAATGATACTATGCAGGCAAACCCTCCACAACTGCACTCAAATCTACTGTACATACAAAGGTTTAGGCATCAATCTCGATTGGTTGCTGAAGCAGCATATTATTTTACCAACATGCTCTCTGCTGAGTCCTTCATCTCAAACATTGATGCAAAAGCCATTTCAATGGATGAAGCTGAGTTTGAGAGTAACATGGAATTTGCTCGTGCTATGCTTTCAGGCATTTCAGTTGATACACAAGATCCTGGTTCACCTTATCAAAATAATGGACAGCATCCGGTAGCAGAACCCACTAGGCACAAAATTAAAGCTTTGAATGATAACAAGGACTCTGCACTACGAACTCCGTCATCTGTTGCAAGATCAGAAGGCAAGAAAGTTGCTTTTGCAGATGAATTACTGATGACAAAAGTTCCATCCCTCTCTGATTTGGAGAATAAAGGGGCAAATATGATCCTGAAGGAGGACAAGTTGAATGAAGTTTTTGGGGAGTTTCCATATTTGTTTGCTAGTGTAGGGGATCTAACAGTAAGTGATGTTGAAGACCTACTAAATAATTACAAACAACTTGTTTTCAAGTATGTCTCTCTTTCTAAAGGATTAGGTGTCTCTCCTACATCTCAGCCGCCAGCCGCCCAAAATAGATCTGACGACCGTGCTGAAACAACAATAGATTCTTCAGACGGTGGACCTCTAGATGAGAATAATAAATCAGAAGAATCTATTGATAAAACAGAGGATAGTTTGGATAAAGTTTCACCTATCGAGGAGCAAACAATTGAGCCTGGTTTGTCACAGGATGAGCCAGCTGCTCCTGAGGGTGATGCCCCGATAAAGTAATGAGAAATAGCTTCAACCGTTTTCTACAGCACCACATACCCCATTTTTTCTCCTTTTTTTTTGTCTGTAAATCTATATGATGTTCTTTGAGTAGTGGCTGCTCTCTTTCCTTGTCTCAGGAATGGCCATACCATGACCAACATGCCCTGTAACATTGTTCTAAAGTAGATTTTAGGGCTGCAACAAATAGAAATTGTACGTTTCGTTGTGATGCAAAAAGAATGCGAAGATTTGAATGTGGTTGTTTTAAAACCCCTGTACACTGAAAATTGATTTTATTCAAAAGAAAACTAAGGCCTAACATTAGTGACATAATATGCCAGTTGCATCAGCGTACGGATAGTTGAAGCTGCGGTGGATATTCATCATGAATCAGGAGCTGATGATCAGAGGTTGGTTATGTATACTCCACCCCTCGATATTGCAAATTTGTTGTATTGTTGGATGTGAAAGAAAGCTAAACATGAATGGTGGTATGTATTGGTATATGTTTCACTTCTTTGAGTGTTAACTTCAAAATACATGAAGATCGGGAATCATGGAAATTGGGCCTCATGGGCAGAAAATCCAGATCAACCTCCTTATAAGCACGTTCTTGCACCGACTAGATCTAACCCAATCATCTCCCATCCATGTAGATATCACTGGGAAGAAAATAAAATAATGTATATGAGGGAAAGGACATACGTAATGCATGTGCAATTCTGGTTTCTTTTGTATGTTTTAACTGAAGGGTGCTTGATTGGAAATCAGGAGGATACATGAAATCATGCCCCCCATATCAACAAAAATAGATTATGCTTCATTTGTAGACGCTGGATAGCACCTTTGCTTTGTCCCTTCCTCTTATATTCTTATAATAACTTTATTCCCTTAATAATGCAGCAATTACATAACCTAGCCCATCTTTGAAACTACATGTCCCCTTATTATCTAATACTTGGGGGCAAATTGGGTTAGAGATAGATTCTCCAATAAATAATCGTATACGGTCGTGTTTCACTGTTCTGTAATCTGATTCTGGCTCAAATAACCTTCTGATTTGTCTAGGATCAGGGTCAGGGACTCGGGGCATATAACCTTGTGCACCCATGCTTATTCTAACTTAATTTGAAAAATATGCAGAGTTTGAATTTGTCACGTGCGTGTGGTGTGCAGAGAGAGCATTCAAAGACATGTATGTCCTCTTCTTTAAAGACAATCTTTGGTAATACCTATGTTTATTTGTTAAGTAGGTTCACTTTCACTACCAGGTGTTACATGCCTGTTCCCCTTTACCATTGTACTATGAATAATTGTTAATTATTTTTTGGAGCTGTTTCTGTTGGACAGTGACAATGTTCCCTTTCTTTTCTTTTTCGTTTTGTTTGCATTTATTTTGGGACACAATCTACCAAGTTTTTGGTCTCTTAACACCTTCAATCTCTCCACATCCCAAAAGCATGGTAGTTATGATTTTTGATTGATAACAGAGAAAGTTGATTGAAAAAGCGATTTCTCTTGCTTCTCTTGGAAGTTATTCAGCCATGATAATACAAAACAAAATATTGTGAGCCAGGAAAGTGACAGGATCACATGACCAAACTAACATTGATATGAAAATGTGTGAAACAAAGCAATTGCCAACACTCTGCTCAGCATGGCGTGCCTCTATATTCAATTTCCCACAATTCTAAGCTCCCCGTTAGGTTTGTTCTCCCTAATTTATATATATATAATGACACATTTCAATCACTTCAAAACATATAAGTAATTATAATAGTGTTTTGTTATACCTATTGCACACAATAAATACTTTTTTATGTCATTAAAATCTATAAACACTTGTTTAAAATATAGTGTTTTATTACACCTATTGCACCAAATAAATACTTTTTATTTTAGATTTATGATAAATAATGTATTCTAGTTATCATGATTTTTTTTTAAAACATTAGAATTCAAGTTAGAATTAAAGGTATAAAAATGATAGATTAAAATATGTAAAAACTTATAAAATGGTATTTTAGAATATATAGTATTTTTAAAATAATGAAATTTGATTATTTTAATAATAAAATGTTTAAATATAAATAGAAATTTCTTAAATGAGTTTCATTACTTTAAAACACATTGTCTTTCTAGAAATCACTTTTTTATAACTCTTTCACTCTTCTCTAAGTTATTTTACTCTTAGTTTGTCTGTTTGAAGATTTGAGATTGTAGGATTTCTTCTGACAGTGAGTTCTTCAAAATCTACTAAGCACTTTCTCAATTTAAGTAAGTTGATTTTTGTTTTTTTCTAGGTTCAATATGTTCTTCTTTTACATGTAGACATATCTTGTTTATGTGTGTTTTAGATTCATATATAAGATTATTTGTTAATTAGTGGTTTTAATGACTTACATTGATTATGTTTGTGTTGTTCCTAGAAATATATAGAGATGCTTGTGTGTACAAGATTGTTTTAGGATTTCTAAATCCTTAGAGCAAGTTGAGCTATATCACATGTAAGGAAGCTAATTATACTACTTATAAGGTATAAATATATTTAAATTATTAATTAGAGTGATTGTATTATGATTGCACAATTTGTTGAGTTATATGATGAGTATCACTTGTGGAATTTAGGCTTAGGTTGGATATATGATGAATTTTGAAGTAGAATTTGGATTGATATTGCAAATGTAATGGTTTGTACTAAGCTGAAATGGTATGTTGGTATTATGTTTGAACCATTGGAATAAAAATTGAATGGTTTGGATATGCATAATAGCAAGAATTCATTTTCTGCAATTATGCAGACTCGCTAGGCGAAGAGTTGTGTCGCTAAGTGACGACTAAGGCAGAGATCTCCTAACTTGGTGGTTGTTGGGTGAGAGTATTTTTGCTTAATGACTTAAAGCTATAGAACTCATTGACTTGGTAGTTATTGAGTGTGTCTAGCTTTCGTTAAGCGAATTTTTGGCATATAAATCATTAAGAGCTTCAACGGTCTGCATACTAAGCTCATTGGGAGATTTATGGTGAAAATTGTCCCAGTGTTAGGATCACTAGGCAAGGCTTCTAATCATTGAGCGAATAGGACTTTTGGCATTACTCACTAGGCGAGTGGATGATCTCGTTGATGGAGACTAACAAAGTTGTTCAATCATTTCCATGTTCAATGATTTCTATTAATGTGAACTATGTGAGGATTATTTGTAGTATATAAATGTACGGTTGATAATATGCATGTTTATAATATGATGAGATGTAAACGGTAAGGATGATAGGATTTTCAAGGGAAAGTCCTTGTGAAATATGTTTCTTAGACGGTGAATTAAAGTAAGGACTTATATAAGAAGTTATCATGTTACTCTATTGGTCATTCACAATCATATAAAGGAGGATGAACAAGTGGTTGAGAGTGGAAGGAGGTCGTGAATAAAATGTCTTTTTAAATTTCTAGTGACATGTATATGATTAACCTTGTGGGTGGATGCTATCCATCACAAATGCTAAAACTTCCTTGTAGTCCAACATTAATGTGTTTAATCGAATGATTAAGTTTCTTTTTATGTGAATTGGGTTTAAAGACTATATGATTGTCTTAACTTGTCAATGTTGCTTATTTAGTGACTTTATAATAATCCTTTTGTATATTAGCTGACACCTTCTTTTACCTTTTTTTTTATTTTCTTATTTTGCATTTACCACCTTATGATTGGTGTAAGCATATGAGAAAACATAAGACTATTTACCTATTGAGGATAATATGGTGTAGCTGAGTACTTTTAGGCTTTTTATTCTTTTATTTAGAGTTGTTTTGAAAAATTCGTTTATAGTTTATTAATATTGTAAACAAATTTTATATTTGTTTGAGATACTTATAATAATATATTATAGTTTTTAAATTATGTCTTAGATTTATTAAGTGTATAGTATTTTACTTAATAATGTAAATTATTAATTGGAATGGTACAAAATACAAATAAATAAAATAAAAAATCTAAAAACATTCTTCTGAAAAGACGGTGTGAGACACATTCTCAATTTTTATATCACGCAAAGATGGAAGATATTATTTAAAAATTAATAATCATGAAAATTTTTATGACTTCCTCTTCTTAATTAAGATTTTGAGATGAAAATCAACCTCTTATAAAATCATTGAGTCTAGATGAATGTGATGATTTAAAACAATTTTTTTAGAATGATAACACAAGTGATTTGAGGATTGAATTATTTAATTAATATATATAGTTTGATTTATGTTGAATATAAAGTCATAATTAGAAAAACATTATTTTACTTTACAAATGGATCGGTGGATAGAAAGAAATTAGACCTTCTAATTATAAAAAAAAAAATACTTAAGATGTTTATGAAATATAAATAAACAATTGGGGTTAGTGTCAAAAGCTGAAAGTTTATTTACTTTATTTAGTATAAAAAGTTTGGTTATATTATATTTTGTAATTTATATTATAATAGAACCTAAAAAAAGCCAACCTTAACCGCACGAGATATGAAAAGAGTGTGATCACGTGCCTCACACATGCAGACACTGATGACATGTTCCTAATCAAATTTCCGCCCACGTGATTGGTTCCCCTTTTTTTTATTTTTTTATTTTAACTTCATTTGTTCCATTTCTATTTTGGACGTTTTTGACTAAATAAATGGATAAACTTGTGAAAACTATAAGATCTTTTTTCTATGTATTTACATTTTGGGTCTTTCTTTTTCAATCTTCACCAGTGTATTCTCTGTCCACTGCACTTGTTGTTTCTGTGTCAACCGACACTATTTTTTTACATGCATAAAAGTTCGATATTTTTATTTCATAAAAAATATGTAAATTAACATTTTCATAAATGCAAAATTATTTATATATAAGTTGCGAGATGATTGGGCGTCAAGGATTTTTACGCATTTTATATATAAAATTGTCATCCTTACCTATACAAGAAATTTTATATATGAAGAGAAAGTCGTTATCTATTAATATCTTTTATATTAATTTGAATTTATTGTCTCTTATAACTACAATTTGTTACTCTTAAAAGCTCAAACATTTTTTTTCAACATGCTGGTAATTACTATTATAGATGTTTGTAAGATAAGCAATACCATTTTTCTTGTTCTATAATTATACTCTTTATTATCTAACTAACGGAAGCATATATATATCAGCTATGCAATATAAATAGCTGTAATTAGTTTAATGCAAACTTTGACATTTTCTCAAGTTGAATACCAAAGAACTCCTTTTTGTTAAAATGTA